ATTCGGCCTGGTACTCGTCGGGAATCGATCGGTCCTGTAAATAAGCGATTCGATATTAATTAGTAGGTATTAGTGGACGTGTGTTTGTATTTCTTGCTCGTTCTATGTGCGATTTCCGCGGACATGTGAACTATATAGGTTAGTTTTTATGAAAGTTTTCCTCAGCACCTGTTGTCGATTCACACATGCCTACATACAAATTGATGAAAATCTATCGAAGTTTTCTGTAGACTCGATTGATAATACCCCAGTGGGGATTAAGTAAGATAAATTTGTAGTAAACTCGATTCGATCAGCATATTTCTTAACTATTGTTTTGTATAATATGTATGTAATAAACAAATCGATTAATTTTAATCTCGACAGGAAATTTGTTGAACTTACTAAAAGCAGGAAAATCGAAAACATTATTCAGCCCGATAAAAACTTCAGCGTCTCGATTGCAATGTTTACATTTTGATTTAGTTCAGCAGGAAGGTAATCGTCCTTGAAATTATGCAGAATACTAATGAGAGTTTATGGGATTAATTTTAAAATAATTACACCGTTGTTACGTTTATTTATAGCTTAATGTTTTCGCGACCAGTTTAGGGTACTCGTTTATTATCTTTGCACATCGCATCGACAGATACAAGATTTTTATATTTTTTATTATTTAACATTTCCTTTTTGAAACAATGTTGTTGTTATTACAAATTCTTATGTAATTCGGTGATAGTGCAATTTTTATTAGAAACATATTGTCAATCGCAGTAAAATTGATCTCGCAGTAACTTAATGTAATTTTTATTTATAGCATTTATTAGTTAAATTTCCCATTGTATAAAGTCTCAATGCATGTTTAAATAATAATATGATTAAAAAATCCTATTGTTTCGTAATAAAATTAGCATTAAAAAGTGTGTTAAGGTCTTCTTAACTAGATACAATATCTCGTTTAATTTAATAAGTATTTTTTTAATTTAACAGGAAATAATACTGCAAATTATATTTTCGTATTTATTATTTCTAGGAATAGTGAATTTTAACTTTCCATCATTTATTGAAACGAGTAATTCTATAAGAAAACTAGTAATATAAACAAACCTTACGTCAATATTTGCACGGATCATTTAAAATACTCTTTTAGCGGCAAAAATAATAATCACCGATTCTAAGTTTAAAAATTTTTATGACTTTATTTGAATTCTCGTTCGTTATTTTGATTTTTTTTATTAGTAAGTCTCCGGTAATAAGTAGGCGAAAATGTTTAATTTGTTTATTGGATGTATAGTACGATTTGATTAGTTTTTAATTATTTTTAAAAATATCCGATTGATAAAATCTTACTAATTAGTAGATATTAGATATTAAATGGCATACTGATAGATTAGATAATAACAACTCATCTGCATACTTACCTGTTTATTCAAATTGGTTTCTGTACATTATATTCGATTATCGTTTTTATCGATTAACATTTTTTAAGCACACAAGTTTTTTAAATTAACAATTAAATCCCTACAAGGATTTATTTAATATTAGACCATTTGCTGTACACAACTTGAACAAACAAATTCGCAAAACACCTACTACATATAAAGTATTTGCCGTACAATCGAGCTTTCGGCCAAAATCAATTTGCATATTAATTAAAACTCACGGGCGAGAATTTAAATCGGCATTCCTGCGAGTCGTCGATTAGTTCGGTAAAGGATCTTCCTTTCGGCATTAGTCCACATCAATCTCCTGACCCTCCCTCTTCGCTTCGTTCCACGTTTGCACGGATTACGCTCACCCGAACTTTACATTGCACTTAACCTGCCATAATCATGTCGGCGAACCTAATGTTCGTGTTCGGGTAATTACCCCGACGGCAAACCCGCAATCGGAAATTTTAAACTACCCCCTCAAAACGTAATTTTCTTCCCAGCGAGCTTCATATTTTTTTATAACTACATATATTGCGTTTTATTTATTGTACAGAACTTTATTATTTCTGTTGTATGCAATGTTCTTGTACTTATACACTTACACACACAAATTGAATAGTATTTTAAACAATTTCTAAACTAGGACAAATTTTTTGATACATTCGAGTAATTATTGCTAAAGGAAATGATAGTTTGTGAAAAATATATGTATTTGTTTTGTAGATGGTTTGTCGAAACGTTCTAGCTGTGAAAATCTGGCCGGGGAGCGCTAGCGAGTATCGCGTTTCAAAAACTACAAATGACGGATAAGTTTGATGTTAACAGCAATTTTGATATGATATCTAGGTTACTACTGACAATAAAATCCGAAGCGTCGGGCATCGTAAAAAGGTATTGCGCACGGCTAGGTAAAAAATGAAACCGTGCCTGTCTAAAATCGCAATCGTTTATTAAGTGGAATTAACTGCAGTATAAAAATATCGGGTATAATAAACAACCATAACATATTATGTATTTACGGGTAATTTTGTAATTCGTGTAAATTAACCGGGCATGTTACATACGATATACGTTAATTTCCGTAATATAGATTTTTACCGATTATAACGGCGCCAGGTGTGCTTTCAGCGATGTAATGGACCATTAAGTCAGGCGCCGTTAAAATGTATATGTTTATTTACATCAAACTTTATTGGCGAGAAAATTTCACATTCAGGAAAAACTCATTTCCAATTTCGCTAAATACTAGATAGTTAATTGTACTAATAAATAATGCTATCGTTTTCAAAAAAGTTCGTAATGTTTCATGCGATTTTAAACTCTTCATTCATTGCAATATTACCATTTTTCAACTATCGTCGCGAAAAAAAATTACCGTTTGATTTAAATTTCCGATTAATTTTCCCCCCTATATGTCGTTTATCATTTGTTTTTGTCATTAAATCCTTCGAAAACGTCCTCGCTTTTCTGCCCGTTCGATTGTATAGAAATTCGCAACAATAGAAGATCGTCAACCCTTTTAATAAAAGTTCTTTTTTTTGGAAAAGCGAAATTGACAAAAGGTCCGAGAACGATGATGCTTTTAAACGACAATGCGATCCATATACTGTGTGATATTGTTTTTTTTGCGACTAAAGAAATCAATTAAGTAATTATTGTACTCCGCCCACTATTCTTTTCATTTGAATTACGAAAATTCGTTGTGTAGAATGTTGATGATGGAGATTATTAAGAGTTTTTTGTTGGATAAACCACTTTACTCTCTTGAATTAATTCGTCAAACGAATCGCGAATCACCCTAGTTGTTTTAATAGTTTTGTTTGTACAACCAGTTATTAGCGATTGTTGTATCTGTAACCTACTTTTAAGGACACTTATCCAAGTAATTGCATTAATAATTTTTTTCTACTAATATCCTACGTAATACATAATCGCTTAATAGTTTAAAACTGAGCTATATTGGATTTTCACTTGCAACAAAAAATAACACCAATCATATATTCGATGGTTGGCCGTCGATTTACAAATTACCACAAAAGCTGATAAATTATCGATTGAGTGATTCACCGCGAGTTTTCCGAGTGGCGTTCGATAAATTTTCCACGTCATTGTTGCGCTTTTTCGAGTCTTAAAAAATACCCGAAAGAAATAGAAATAGAAATTTTAATTAAACTTATATTTCACTAATGGTTTAATTAAACAGGGTTTAAAATATCTATTTAATTTCAAACGAACCTTAACCGAGGTCGAAATAATAATAATAATAATGCTATAATACATATTACATATTTCCACATTATACTACAGACAACTTCCTTTCATGATTAAATCAAAAAAATTACGTCATTAATAATTCTTAAATGACGATAAACTAAAGTTTGTATTAAAAAGAATTAAAGTATTTACTTTTGTTGTAATGTACATATTCCACAGTTGTTCGAAGGTCGATTCGAGTACTTACGTATTTATTGAATTAACATAAAACCATTATCATTTATGATTGCGTTTATTTACTAATACTTACGTTTCTGCTATTTGCGTTTATCAACTCAATTCCCTAAAAAAATCGATTCTTATAACAAATTTTAAGTGGCCTAATATATATCGACCACACCCCGTATATCCACGACAAACTCATTTAGATTTTCCTAAAAGCACGCTCCTTATTCGAGTAGAATTAACATAATACTGACAAATTAAATTCTGATAAGACACTGAAATCAAATCCCCGAATTGCCTGCGGATGTTTCAGCTTCTTTTTTTAATAAAGGATTCTTCCCTGCGCCTCTCTCTTCAATCCCGTCGAATCGACGCTTCCAATTATATCCTACCGAGATATCTCGTTTCGGGGAGATTAATAAAATGTATTGCGTTTGGGGATTTGACGGGTCCGGCGAGTTTCGAGTAACCTTAATTTATTAATTCTAAGACTGCGAATTTCTGCGAAATACACGCACGATTTTATTTTATTCGGCAATTAAATTTTATCTTTTCACCGCAAAACTAATATCTCGATAACTTTAACACAAAGCATATGTAATGCGTAATTAGATTCACGAGTTACGGTGTACCTATCCAATTAGAAAAAAACGTCGATACTAATTTAAATACACAAAAAATACAATTATCCGAACATACATAAAATTAATATTCTACTGACGAAAGGCATGTAAATGGTGTCACGGTCGTTTTTTATAATTTTTCACAAATTCGTAAAAAAATGAGAGCTATTCAATTTATGGTAATTTTCAAAACTAAAACAATGGGAATGGATAAATATTTTTTTAACACAATAAACTGGATGTTGGCAATTAAATAAATTTGTTAATCCTTGCGTGGTGATATAAAAGGGAGCGAATAAAAATTTATTAATAATTAACCCGTCGAGTGGAAGAATCGCGTTTTAATAACGCGCTCCCACATCCAAACGGGAGTTCGTGCAAAGTGAACTTCATCATTGCAATCTCGGTGCATTGTTGCAATATTAGAGCGCCGTTATTGCGTCTATTTTTCAGGTTTTATTCGACCAAAAAATACGACGTAATTTCGAATGAAATATTCGCCCATTAAAACTCTTTTCGAGTGAAAATGTACCTAATTCGTTTCAATTTGGCGTTCGCGCGTAACAGATTATATCCACCTACGGTGCAATTGAACTCGATTTCTTTCGAAATAACGGTAGGTGGAGTAATGCAATATTTTATTCAAAATGTTAGCAAACTTAACCGACAAATCATAAATGGAATATGCCGTTCGGTTAAAGACATTGTATTTTAAGAAAGTTTTATGGGCGAGTGCACTTTTCGTAAAAATGGAACGGTGTAAACCCGCTTTTATGACGTGAATAAAACGTGAAGTTGTAAAGAAACATTTGTATCTCGGAAGATAAATGGGAATTCGGAGGAATTACGCGAAATTATCATTTCCCCGATCCCATACACCGAACATACTTACAATCTTCTCTTTTCCCGGGTCTGTTACGCGGTATGTTTCTCACAATAGGTAAGTAATGTAAAACGGGGGTTTTATTTCAAACGAACGAAAGCATATTTTATAACATGTTTTCACTGGATCGTTATTTTTCGTTCGACTAATAAACCGAGCGAGCGTTCTTTGTGCGAGAATGTTCCATTTTAATCTTGTAAATGATGATAAAACTTCTAACATTTTAACGTTATTAATTTCCCGGGTAAATATACTCTCCGGAAACACTCTCGAAAGTAATTTAATTTCTTACCCGAGTTCCGATTTTCTAATGTAATTTCATCATATGCACCGAAGTTTTTCGATGTCGTTATAACTTCACCGGATATGCTGCTATTTGTACCGTTTGTAACTAAAACGTATAATTATTATCGTAGAGAAAAGTCTCGTTTTTACCTTTTAGAGAAGCGTTGTAATAAAAAAGGGTGATTGATTATGAGTTAACGTCAAAAGATACATTGTGTTACATAAGGATAAAACCACCGACACGCGTGAGAGGTGTTCATAAAAAAAATCGTATCGCTCCGACATCGTAATCGATCCCTCAACAGCCACTTTTAATGAAGCGATGTCAATTTCGCGGACAATTTGACGTTTTCCAACTCCGCCATAATCCAATCAATTAGCATATCATCAATATATTAAACCTACATATTCTTAGGTTAATGATTTAATCCAGGAATTAACTTCCATATATTCACAACTTCACTTTTAAAAATGCAGTGATAGCTGATAATTGGTATAATTTTTTTAGAAAATTGCTCTATTTTCTCTTAATCTCTCATTGGTATTCTGTGTATATTTTATTAATGGGACTTTTTAGGTTTTATTTGCAGAAGAAAATGACTTGTATCATTGTCTTTTATTTAATAACAAAATGGCAGTAGGTATCACACACTTGTCGCTAATATCGGTTGAGCCGATCCAAAAATAGTTTTACTATACGGTTTACTAGCCCCAGATAATGTATTTATCACTTAATACGATCATAGATAACATCGTATCGAATGTAACGTTAATATTCGTGTTTGTTATGTATGATTAAAATTAACAGTGTTGTCGAAGTTTTAGATCGGCATCTTGTATATTGTTGTGTATGAAATTATTTCATGTACAGTATACCTACTTGTAATTTACGACAAAATCAAAAACTAGTGACGTTATCAGAAACCTACATTTCATGAGGTTTTGTTTTAAGCAAATATGCCGCGTCTAGTTTAATGTGTTAAATGCTTAACTTTTATCAGTGTTATTTTCATTATAATAATGTTCATTATAATATTTCGAAACGGGTATTTGATGTATTTAATTTTCGTGACGTCCTGTTTGCCATTCGATTTACTTTGTCTTGGTTTTAAAGGCGAAATCAAATTTCCTGCTGATATAATATGTAAATTCAATATTAAACGAACCTACTTTGTTTTTGTGAATAATTTACGCACAAAAAATTGCATTGTATTTTTATGTAGGCAAAAAGTTGTTGATTACACCGTATTATCTACTTCACCATAAAATCCCTCCGCCTGACCGGCTTTCCCGTTCAAATACATAATATAGGAACTTAACGGTTATTGTTTGCGCTCCCCATTCGGATAAAAGTGCTCGCCAAGGAATTTCTCTTGCCGGGGAAATTACCTTCGCGAGTCCCATTCGAACCGGGCGCACTTTTCTGAACGGCGAAATACCCTCTAATTAAAAGCTTATCGTATGAAAATTTCAGGCGATCTCCACCGGAATCGTCGCCATGTCTGAGCGAGTCGTCGAAGCATTTTCGCCGGCTACCCGCCCGGAGGCCCGCGTTCTCCCCGTCGCCCTAGCAGTGCAGTAAAATTTGGAAAATAATTCGATATTATAGTGCGGTCGTGGGCGGCCTCGGACTAGTGACAGCGGTGACAGGACCACCCTTCGTCGACTGTGTCGTGGTGCGGCATAGGCAGGGCAGTGGCGTGCTGCCGGGATGGGGACGGGGGGCAGCTGACGGCGCAATCGAAGGATAACGACGGGCGACGCGGCGACCGCTTGGGCGAGCAGAGGCGGCGATGCGGCCTCTGCTCGCTGGTCGCCCGCGCCTTCCGCAGGGCCGTTTGCGGCACGGCCAGTCGCAGGAGCAGCGACGATTCCTACAGGATACTGACGGGACCGCCGCCCGACGATGAGGCAGCTGTTGTAAGTCCTGCATTTCATACAAACGGTCTTTCTCTTCTATCTATTTTAGCCAGGATGTTATGTTGCATACCTCACCCTCAATATCTACTAAACAGGATACAGACATGGGTTGTAAGCAAAAGTTAGTAATAGAAAATGCTAATAGTTTTTATAAAAATGTCTCATGACTCTTTGAAGTTTCACAGAAACATCTTGCTGTATTATTAAAGAATTACCTGTATAATTTATTTATATATAATTATATAAAAAATGCATTAACATCAAAGCCCCACTGCTGTAAAGACCTCTCTCGATATATAACGTACTAATTGGCAAACGCATGTAGGTAATTATTATATTTTCTAATTAACCCATTAGATTATTTTTCAATAAATTTTATTCCAAAGTAGGTACACCATCAAAGGCGCTATTAAAAAAGTCTACTCGAAAGTTATGTCAGGTGTATCAATCATATTTTTAGTGTCAATAAAACTCTGCTTTTAATTGAATTGTTTATCGCAGCAAATTGATCATAATGAAACTCGGCGCATAGGTGGCCGATTAATTACATATACTTACTTCATTACGGCAATAAAAATTTTTTATTGGCAACCCAAAGACAAGACCCGACGAATTACTTAACGTCCGGCAATCCGACTATAATTAATTTCGTTTCCTTGGCTGTGCGACACAAAAAAATCGATTGCAGGTTTAGTCATAAATTTATATTAATATATGCATTTATGCAGCCGTATTAGTAAATTTTCAAGATAAACCGATTTGAAATGTTTCTCATTCATCCTGCCGAGAGGGATTTAATGGAGCTTCGCAGCGACACCGTCAGTATTTGTACAGCGCGAATTTTAATCCCATTCACGTTTTGTAAGGCGCTTTATTTATGAATAGAAAATCCGGGTAAATTACCTCTCGCGTAAATAGGCGCGTACGCGATATCGGTTACAATTAGCCCGGATTAATTTTAATTAAATCATCGATCAATGTGCTCCACTCAGCCTTTCATTCAAAGTAGCAAATTAGTGCGGATGGCTCGGCACGAACTATACTAATTTAGTCCGGATAGTTAGTTTACTTATTACTAAAAACTGTAGAGTACTTTTGAAAATTGGGTGAAATCGCAATCACGTTCACAATTGAGTCTCTTTAAAAAAAGTATCCAATGCGTACACAAAAAACGGTAAGTTGACCGAGCGCCAAATCGAGTGCGACCTTATTTTTCTCCCTTCGGGTCCATTCGAAATTCGAACGAGCGGTAGAATCGATAATTCCAAATGAGACTTCCAGTGCAAGTCGCTGGAAGAGATAAAGATAAATTAACCCACAAAAATTGCTAAAATATTTTCAATTTCCTTAATTCCCTTAAATACTATTCAATTTAAAACAGCACGATTTGTTGCAAAAACGAATAGTTAATTGTGGTAATATATGAATGCTAATTAATTTTAAATGCTCATTTCTCGTTGATGTATAAATTGATATGTAAATTGAGTTTTATTAGTCTATGTGCGATTATCCAGTAAAAGCCCGAGGTAAATTAGATTTTTCTCTTGCTGGTTTAATTAATGATACCTATTTGGTTTTGTTTTAAAACGCTGAGCGGTAGGCATTACTTAGAGCGGGTTAATTAAAGGATGATAATGAAGGACTCGACCGACTCCCCTGAATAATATATTTTCTTTTTTATTATTAATCCCCGAATTTATGTTTTTTGTGTATTTTGGAGAAGAGAAAGTTAGTCTTGAAAAAATGAACTTAAGTTTATTATGCATAAATACTAATTATTTCGAAATTGTTTATACTGAGTTATATCAATACTTTTGCTAAAAGTATTATTAATTAATTACGTAATGGCGCATTAGTTAATTAATTTGAGTAAGACTGATTGTTAGCATAAGTAAATAAATAAATAAAACCAAATCGCGGTTTGAATTGAATGTCCTAAGGCGTCAAAATGTATCCTAAACATCCAGAAATGCAAACTAAATATCCACTTTTCGTCTATCCGATAAATCCTCGATCGAAATCCAGAACAAATTGGTTCAATTCAAACCGCCGTTTCGGCAATTCCGCATGAAACGCGGAAACTTAATTATAATATTAAGCTCGATCGTTTCATTAGCGGAATGTCGAAAAGGGAAGTTTGTTTAGAGATTCGAATGCAGACTTCTAAAATTAATATTTAAGCAAATATTATTCTAGCACTCGCTGCGCTCGAATTTACACGCTGCACGACTCGTGGCGTGTTTTATCTGGTTCTCTCAGATAGCATAAAGTACTTTACATATGTTGACTTTGACGTGACATTTGTCAACCTAAACTTACTGCTTTATTGCCTCATCCTTTATATCACTATCCAAGTTATTTGAGATACCTATCTATTTGGAACATTGATGAAATAAAATATGTACCTTAATTCTGCTAGTTCAATTTTTGATAACTTCTCTGTCGAAATACATTCAGTTCCATTGATGTAAAGAAGGCATCTAAACATGAATGGGATCGTTATCGAATTGATATGAAATCAAATTCAACAATTCAAATTTATTCGGAACCAGCAATAACCCGGCTTGTTACAAAACATTTATGTTGGCCGGGCGAGAGATCGGCGCGGATCCGTGTCGCAATTTAAAATTCAAATGTTGCATTCGCGCTATATTCAACTGCGAATTTACACCGATCAAATTGAGCGTGAAATAGTTGGCGTAATAACCGGGGGGTACTTAAGCGCCATTCTGCCGTGTAATTTTCTAATTTCTAATTTTAAACCGCCCCGGCGAATCTTGTTTTATCTCGCCGTAAAGCGGGAGTTATTAAATCATATCAGCGAATTCCTGCGGCGGAAATGTCCTTGCTCCGCGCGCTTGGTTTTTTTTTTGGAAAACGCCGAAGTAAACTGCACTTCGAATTAGACGTTAGGCATTATGAAAAGAAGAGACGCACAAAGGACGTCCTTTATAAACGAGACGTAGAGGTGGCTGAAGTACAAAAGGACGGTGGGAGACAAAAAGCAAGAGTAAAAGCCCTAGGAAAGTCTCGTGATAAATGAAACCTCCATTAAATGTAATGCAAGTACATGTTTTGTTCGGGGGAGAATTTAAGGGGAGAGTCGACCAGTAGCGGAGAGAGAAGAATTTAATATTCAAATGGAAATTTATATTACCCTATTGTTAGTTTCGAATTCACTTATATCGAGTGGCTATAAATAATGAAAACTTTTTTGACAAGTTGCCAATAAACAAATAATTCTACATAGACTCTCTTACACAATTTACTTTTCTCGATAGTCAATTGACTCTCTTAGTTTCACAAACTATTCTCTTGGGTAGCTAAACGATGCCTTTAGAGAGTTAATTGGATCTGTTGAGTAGATAAATGGCTCCCTTACAAATACAATAGTCTCTCTGCGGTAGATAAATTAATCTAATATGTAGATTGACTCTCATAAATAAGCATAAATTTCTTGGAAAGATAGATGACTCTTATCTTAGTACTTACTGTAGGTCTAAGTACTAAGTAACTAATCCCTATAAATAAAGCTGAATAATTTGTATTCGCCCAGTAGTATTCTGGAATATTAATCAGTTTTTATGAAATAATGCCCAATTTACCTACATAGTTTTAACGACGAATTGTAGCCGAAATTTTCCTATTAGCTTTCATTATGTTATGAATGCTATCAACAATAAGCGACACGATCAATGTGGGCGATTTGTGATTGTGATGTTCGGAATTGTGAAATTATACTGGTTAAACATTCATCTTTATGCAAATTTAACACGGAATGATCGTCGCCTCGGGCGACGTTTGGTTTATTAATAAGACTCCGCGGTGTGAATTATTTCCTGCCGGTCCATTTTATAGGCCATGGATTATTCGAAATTTTCCGACGAGATGCATTTTCTATTTTTTTGTCACACCGCATCATAATTCCGATTAACCATTAGGAAGCGTTTTGCTTGTAATTCGAATGGAAATTCGCTGTTCCTTATTTCCCGCTAAATTGGAAAGCGTGTTTTTTATCAGTTACAACGCTAAATTGAAACATTAATTTTGTATCATAGAGTTTAATTTATTTTTTACGTCGGACTCGCCCGAGGCACGACTATTTCCTAAAAAAAAAGCCCGCGCAATTTTCGAGATGAAAATGCAGAATCGCGTCCGGGAAATTTGTCGCACGCAAATTAAATTACGAACTAAGCAAAATTTGAATACGTTTTTCGAATTTTGATCCTATTAAATTTCCTTGAGGTGCATTCGAGAGCATTATTGCCATCCTCTAATACTCGAGTACAACGTCAAATCCCGTAATGCGGTAATCTAAAGTTGAATCTCATCTAGGACTTCGTTCGGGCACCGGTAAATTGGTTATGTGCGCGTATTAATTCGAAGCACATGCACCGCTTATACGCGAGCATTGTGGATTTTCTCCCGTTAAATTTCGAACGCAAATTTTCCGCCGACTATGCGAAAAGCGTCGGAAAAGTGTCGGCTTAACGGTGAGAAGGATGTTCTAACGTTCTAACATTTAGAAGGGTGATGGGAAGTGTGCATGTAACTCGAAATCCTCATTATTATGCATAATTAAGTATAAAATGTACAGTGCGTTTACCCTGTAATGTTTTCCATATTTAGTTCTTCATGTATGACAAAGTATTCTTAGAACGTTCCAAGGAAAAACCCCTTGAATATTTGCCTCACGTTTAATAAACCAAAACATATGACCATGTGAGTTGATTGACAATTTTTATTTTTTACTGGATAGCTTCTTCTAAAAAGTGTTAGTCTATTTTGGGACAAATTGAGAATATTTCATCAATTTTCAAATCAAAAAATGTAAATGAAGAAACTCCTTTGTATTGTGTACTTGCCAGTTTGATAGCGAATTTATCACTCTATTCAACTTCGACGATAACTTTTAGTTTATCGGGTTAAGCAATTTTCAATTTTGAGAGATTGCGTTTTTTTTTGGCTAGTATGTAATCTTGAAACCCGACTGGATGATA